TCAATACCCCAAACTAAAAGCCTAAACACCAAACTCCTTTTCAACTTTCAACCACACAATCGGAGCCTCGAACGAGCTTGGGTATGTTGAACCAAATAGGGTCCACGTCCGTATTGACCTAAATCCTAGACCACATAGGTTGAGGATCTAGGGATTCGAGTCCATGGTAAATTCAGCCATATATAAATAGGGTTACGAACCTTGCTGCAACACACCGATCCCATCCCAGCACAGCTCTTTGCACCTAATGTTGCGCCCTTTACCCTAGACCCCGACCCCTGCACCCTCAGCACTACACCCTACCCTTGGGCTCAAAATAGCCCAAAAGCCTTATACATTTATTATGGTCTTTGGGCCCAATAGACTTAATAGATTAGTCCTTATAGCCCTCGGGCTATTTTTCGAACATCCTAACGGGTCTCCGGCTGGCGTCTTGCGTCTCCCGAGATTCACGGGAACCTCGTCAACTCCAAGGCAGGAAAGGCAAGTCTGGGGCTTGGGTCAGAGGAGTTTTGAGGGGGGGCGCTTCGGGGATGTTTGGAAAGTCGGAAATATGGCGATCGTGGCTTTTGCGGCTTCGGGGTTTCAGGCTTGCAGGGATCGAGGCTTGGTGGGTCTGCAGGTCCAAGGCCTTAGGATCCGGGCCCGTAATCCTAAACCCTAAACCGCAAACCCCTGAAACCTGAGGTTTGGGCTCCAGGGCTTAGACTTCAAAATTTAGGCCTTCGTCAAGCAGCTCTTAACGGCGTAGGACGGAACAAGGGCCTACGAGTTTTCGAGCAGGCCCAGAAAGATGCCCCACAACAAACTTTAGGGTTTAGGGTTTAGGGTTTAGGATGTAGGGTTTAGGTTTAGGGTTTAGGGTGTAGGGTTTACCTGTAGCCGAAAACACCTACCTTTTCAGGGCTCCTCACTATGATTTCTGTATATAGTTCCTTAAAAGGTAGGTCTTTTCGGCTACAGGTAGGGTTTAGGTTCAATAACATGATCCGACTTGGAGGATCATGGGTAGCTATACGTGGGGCTATAAGTCCCCTAATATGGGTTAGAAGCATAGTTCCCCTGCTTATAACCCCACTTAAAATTGCCCATGGACCTCCAAGCAGCAGACCCCAGAACCTACAAATTAAGCCTACTGCATTCGCCTTTAGGGCTTCGGGTCGAAGGTATTAACCTTGAAATCGCAAAGTCGAGCGCCGACAACATCTCTAACAGTATAAGCCTAAGGCACTCTCAAGCCTAAACCTCAGAATCCGAAACAAACGGTTTATGGCCCTTCATAACAGAATCTTGTACTGGCTCTAGAATAATCTTGTACTGGCTCTTGCGGCGAGCCTTGTTTAGATGCCAACAGAAACCCTCAAGCAACCCTCATAGGCCTTCCAAAGTCCACTTTGCCAACTCGTCGGAATACATCGAGAAGTAGTGCGCGGCCACCTGATGGTAGTACACAGGATCTTTCAGGGCATGAGGGGCCTCATGTTGTACCTAAACCCTCGGAAGTAGGTAAAATATTGGCCCGAACCTTACAAAAGGCCATAAATTATTCTCCATACTGTTGTGGTTCGGGTAGGGTTCATGGGCTTAGGGGGTTGAGGTTTACGTGTTCACGGGTTTACGGTTGCGGGGTTAAGGGGGCTGATATACCTACATGGCTGGACCTGTTCTGTAAAGTAGCACCGAGTGTGAACAAACTAACCCTACTACGGCAACTTACGGGTTCCATATTCATGGTGATGATTGCTGATTATACTGACTGGTGCATAACCGTTTCATTCTTTGAATCCTGCATGAGTTTCAACAATTTAGAAAGCCAAATCGCCACGATTTATGGAACTCTGCAGGCCTGCAAAACGGTTTTGGACTTATCATGCGGGGCCTCATTCATCTTGCAACACTATTCAGTTCGAACCCTTATAGAAGTGCCATCCATTTTTAAATCCGCAGCAGAAGCAGTCCTTGAATAATGACAATCTGCACCCCCCACCCTCCGATTTCACAGCCGTAAACCTCACCCTAACCTCCCAAAAATATGCCGTTGAAGGAAGTATAAGGAAATCACAAAAAGAAGCCCTTAACATTTAGGTGGGTCCAGGCACATGATAAATCCCAATTGCCGTCTCGGAATGGGATTTTGACAGGATGGCACTACAGATCTGTCTGCATTCAGGGCCTCATCAAACTTCGAAAAGGCAGTGCTATAAGAGTTACCAGGATTTGGAGCTTCATGGCTTAGGACAAGGTTCGCTGCAACCCTTGGAACAACTGCAAAACCTTTCGCAACCAAATACGGCATACATCTGCGACGTGGAGGATTGCCCGTGCGCCCTGACACCGATAAACCAATTGAAAATTGCTATCTCCACATAGGGGTAAGGTTCCATAGTTTACACCTTCGTGGATTGTTGGATCCTCCTAGACCCAGCAGTCTACCTATAGTCTCCATTCTAGTTCCTTTGTGGGGTTACCTTATAGTGTCCTGAATATCTAATTGGTCAAACCCCAAAACTACAATGGAGACTACAGGTTGACCTTTTAGACGGCACCAAAATCTTAGACATCCTTCGCGGAAATCCCAAGCTCTCGACGCTAGACCCTTGTTACACGCGGTATAAACCTCGTTTAAATTCCAGACTCTAGGCCCTTATTAAACCCTGCAGAAGTCTTATCATGAACATCCCACCCAAACTCTAGACTCCACACCCTTTGAAACCCGGTACAGCACTGATCCCGGAAAACATGGGAGTTTCCGGAAATAGGGGACCCTCAAATAGTACCCTAAATAGTAGGATCCTTATTACAAGGACCCCAAAATTAGGTACCCCTAATTTTCGGAAACTCTAAACCCTTTATAGAACCCTTATAGATCCCTTTAAGGAACCCTTAAAGGATTCCTTTAAAGGATCCCTTTAAAGGTATCATGCCTCCCGGAAATGGTCCGAAGAACTGCTCCTCCGGTGCCAGGAGATGTCGCAGAAGAACTCACTTGGAGGTTCATGGGTAGCTATAAGTGTGGGGTTATAAGTCCCCTAATATGGGTTGTATAAGTATAGTTGCCCTAGCTATAACCCTACTTATAACTACCCATGAACCTCCGAATAGAGGGGCCGGAGTCGCTAGACCAGGTTTTGGGGGAGAACTCGTGTACGGCAGTCACAAAATGAGACAGACTCTTCAACTTTAAGCTATTCACCCGAAACCCAAACCCTAAACCCCAAGCTCTGGGCTTAGGGTGATTAGGGCTTTCACGTTTCGGCTTTACAAAAGCTCCAAGGGTGTGCAAAGGCTGACTCTAGCGGCCCAGTTTCCTATGTAAGGGTCAACTAGACTATGGATTCATGGGTTTCGGCGCCCATCAGCGGAAAGTAATGGATGGGCTTCCCGGGTGACTTGACCTTTGAAGCCCCGAAGGAGCAACTGCAAGCTCCAAGACGAAATATTAGTGACGAGACCCGCGATGTATCAAAATGGCAAGTCGATGCAGTTCGGCCAGAAAGGTTTAGGGTTTAGGAAACAACGAGTAAAGCAGAAAGCAACATGGTGAGGGCGGGCCACGAAAGCAAGAAGCCACGAACAGTGTCGATTTATGTGCATGGGAGGGAAGGATTAGTCCTAACATTCCGAATGGAGCACAGTCCCGGTATAGGTATACCAGAACAGAGGCTGCAGGCAGCCCAACAAGTCTGGGGGTCACATCCATACATCGGGAGCTTGCACAAGCCATAGCTCATTCTGCACATTCTGTACTGTTCATGTGTGGGTACCAAGAAACTCCACTCCAATCACAACTCCTGCATGTTTGTGGCCTACACTCCATCCCAAGAGCTCACTCTGTCTGTGTAGGTCCGCACAAAGCATTGTTACACATGCGCTTCAAGCCATTTGGCCCTCTGCTAGCTGTGTTGTCCCTAAATTGAGGTCCCGTGAGCTTGCCCCTAAACCTTTTAAGCCTTATGTTTCTTAACAAAACCCTACAAGCCCCATATATATATATATATATATATATATATATATACATATAACCATCTAAGCCTAAGCAGATGATGCGTAATCGAAGCCTGTTGGGATCTTCTTCGAGAGATCTGGGCGACGCTGCGCCGACCTCGTTGCGCAGACTGTCCCCTTGTAGTTCCTTTGAAACGTATACGATAACATACCGCTCGTGCAGAATGTCCCCTCGTAGCCCTTGTGTCATGTAGACGGTAATACCTGCTAAGCCTTTCCCGGGATGATTATCACGTGAAACTGGAATTATTGAGAATCTCTGCAGCGACGCCTAAATTACGCTGTCGAACGCTGCCGAACGCCTGCGAACGCATATTATTGCATTTGACCCCTTTTTGATACTGTTCATACATTGTATATATATATATATATATATATATACACATTATAGAGAATATCCCGAAAGAGCTCAATATATGTACGATTAGATAAACCGTTATATTATATATATGTACAACAAACTACGTGCGACAATATAATAGTCAGGCTGTACCATAACAGAAAGTGCTGTACTGTAGTGTGCTCCTCTTATACTGCATTCTCGTACATCGTATATATATATATATATATATGTGTCTATATATATATATATATATATATATATATATATTCATGTACATACAAACACATACATATATTATGATGTTTTGCTCTGCATGATTGTGGCCAGGGTTTGGCCTTTGATAAGATACGCCCTCGAAGCATTACAAAGTCCGAAAACATACAACCTGACCCATCGACCTACGCCCACCTCACCCATTCCCGCCTGGCGGTGCTGGTGATATAATGATACATGATGGTGGTGGAGATGATGGTCATGCCAATGAAAATGAGCCTTAAGATGCATCTGGTGATGGCGACCATGGTCGTGATATCGAGTCTAATGATCCTGGCGACGGTGAAACTGATGCTGTTGATGGTGATGTTGACGATGACGGTGGTGCTGTGACGCGATGAGGCGAATGCTCCGAAGCTTACGTACAGGGCCTCTTGTTTCAGCGAGACCAGAGCAGCAGCACCTGCGTAAGGTATCTTTCGAGGCTTCGTTGCACCCGCTGTCGCGGGCTCACGCAACGAGTAAGGAAACAGAAACGACCAATCAGGTCTTCGTCCATAGAGCATGACTCACACATCACATTGTACACCCAGTCGGCCTGGGCAGACTGGGTTGTCATCCAGTCAACCAGGTGCCAGTACATGTGCAATTTCGGAATCAGAGTGAATTTGCATTTGTGCTCTTTGCAAGCCAGCAGTGCCATTCTTTGATAGCACGCTAGGAAGTGCCACCCTGATTCATTGATTTCTTGTGCCTCACTCTTCGGAATGAACAGCGGCCCTTTGTACAATCTACTCATCCAGAAGTTAAGCGCACGAGTCCCGCTAGCCTGAGCAGAGTAACGGCGTGGCTTTGTAATAAGGCCAAAAAATTGTTGGATACCTCAAAACTTGAACAGTGCATGCGCGCCAATATATCCAAGTAACGGCGAGCCTAAGTTGTTCCTCGGCGAAACTTTCCAATTTTTTTCTTCGGCAAAAATCGCCGATGAACTTCATCAAAGACGTCGTGAGTGCTGCTTTGTTCCACGATCCATCCATAGATGACTTCCATCCTAGAAGATTCTTGTCGATCTTCTGAACATAGTTGACGACACGGTTTTCCTGACAGGACGGAACCATCTAATAACCCATCGACTTCATCTTAAAGACAGTGAATCTGTTAACAGAACGAAATGCATCCGAGTCTCTTTACAAAACTCGATGTACTGCGCAGATAGATTGCCCAGTCGCTCGTCGATCGTGCTGCCGGGACACATTTCCATCAAAAGTGACATGCACCCTGCTGCCCAATTTTTGCCGATGCCAAGGCTGACTGTGTGAAAGGCGTCAACCTTGTGAAAGAAAGCTTTGCGGTCGTTCATGTGCAGCAGCCTGCGCGTGAAGATAGCCTCGTCCTCCCAGGGCAGCTCCTTGTCAAACGTCTGTTTGTAGGCCGGATCTGGTCTCCTGGGCTCAGGCAACCCATATAGATATAGCGCAATTAATTTCATGCTACTATATCGAAGCATCATGAGCATCCCCCTCTCCAAAGCAACCGGATAGCAACAATACTACAAGCCAAAAGCAAGGCCCAGCGTCACATCCTCAAAGTCAAAGGCCGGTCTGCCGGCCAAGCACATGTGGCAGATACCCACACAGGGCTTCTTGCTGCTGCTGGCTTTGGGGACTCGTCGGTACGAGCGGCAAAGCTTGGCAGAGGTGGCCTGGTGCTGATCATGCAAAAGCGATGCACACCCAACTATGTTTTGCACATACTTCGGCCGGGAAATTAATCATTGAAATGTTTGATAAAATTCTAGCCGAGGACAAGATAGGACCAGTCACCTTTATTCCCCAGGGGAACGAGGTGCAAGTGTGACCCGCACTTCAGCTTCACCCCCTCCAGACAGCAGTGATCGATGTCACCCACCACGTGGGCGAGCAACTCATCCATGACCGACGGATTGTCTTTGTAGTCCTCCTGGCGGCAGTGTGTCAGCCAACAGAAACTTAACAAACCGGAACGTTTCAATTCATGTCTTTCTTAAGTTCGAAAGCCTTCAGCATTGTAGCAGCAATGAACCGGGTCTTGAAACAATGACCAGCAAAATGCATTTCCAAACTTGAAGATGCTGCGTCACCCTGCCCCGTCCGCTTGGAGTTTACACCTTGTCCCATTGGGCTGTACACGGACAGTACCAGCGCACCGTCGCGTTTGTAGGTCGTACCTTCATCTCCGTGAATATAAATAGGCACGCAGCATTGCAGCATGTCGTCTGAAGCAACCTCGTAGATTCCATGTGTTCCGTGGCACAGCTTGTACTTCTGCCAAAAATCCAGAAGCTTCGGCCCTGCAGCTTTCAGAGTTTGGCAGCCCTCACCCAGACCAAAGAGGTGGTGCAGGTAGTTTTTCTCGTCAAGCAGTTTAACCCACGAAGACGGCTTGATAATCGGGAAGTCTTTATAGCAGCCGACGTGGCATTTCGTGACTTCCACATCCAATCGCAAGCCATGTTTGGCAAAGATGCCCGACACATCTCTTTCCTTAAAGCAGATCGAAATTCTTTAGCCAACCATGCTAATTCAGCCTTAAAGATTCGGGCTAAGGCGAGCAACTGTTGCAAGCTGAGAAACGGAGTGGGTCTTGTCCGCTGCTGCGAGTTTTTCGAGAACAGGGCACCAGGCCGATGATTGTCGATGAATCTGATGTCCATCTCCAGAAACTCCAGCAGCATCTTCGGCATACTCCAAAATTGAAGCAGCCCGATCAATGATCTTTATGCACTGTTCCTTGGGATCATAGTGTGTTGCGTGACAGAGTTTGTGTATGTGTGTGTGTGTCTGTCTCTGTGTGCGGGTTTCTGTATATGTCTTTGCGCAATGCCGAGCGGCTCCCCGGCTATAGCTCCAAGCCAGATCCACGGCAGCATTGGACACACCTGGCCCAGCGCATGCGGTTCGAAGCTGTTGTACATATGGCGGAGCGCATGCTTTTCTTTCACACAGCAAGACCGCATGTTACTCACGATTTTGCGCACTGCAGAGCTTCGCTTCGATGTGATTGCAGAGCAGGATCGGCCCGCTCACTCGATCAACGAAACCAACGTCGATCGATCTGTACCCGGAAACATACCGGGACCCCCAAAGCAAAACTGGGCTGTCAATCTCAGGTGGCATCTACCGTCAAGCCGCTTGATTCCAAGGATCGGGGGGGAGAGTCGTGATTATATGGTTTCGTTTATATAAGTTGACAGCACTGTGCATGGAGGCTCAAACGCCCTGAGAGTTTTAAGCCATCCACGTGGGAAAAGATCTGCTCGTCCCCACCAAGATCCTGAGCTGCGACCGCTAAATACAAAGCATATATGTGTACTGTCTACATCCGTATAGACCAGTCAAGCGGCTACTTCTTCTTCTTTGAGGGTGGCTTCTTGGGGGTTGCTTTGGAATTGTCGCCATCCGTCTGCTTCTTGCGCTTGGCAGTGCGTGCGATCTCTGCCAGCATCAACCTACAGAGACTGCTGCAGAGTAAGAGTTGATTGAGTGATCGACCAGGCTCTGCTGATGCTGGCTTCTGCTGCCGAGATGCTTGAACCGGGAATCGATTGCAATCAGTGCAGCACACCTCGGCTGCAAACCCACATATGGTCGAATTTAGGAAGGGGAGACGTGTTGCTTCGGGAGCTAAAGGGTGCATGGTTCCAGGGTTTGGAGACTGAGGACATGACTTCCAAGTTTGTTCAAAGCCCACATTAGCCCCCAAGGCCTCGAACATACATATGAAACCCAAAGCCCAAAAACCCTACATACCCCTATAAAGCAAACCCCCTAAACCGTATACAAAATTGGCCCTAAATCGTAAACTCCCATAGATACACATTGCACACTCAACCCTGTAAGCCTAAACCCTAAGCCGGTTTTAGTTGAGATGCGGCTTCTTGGCCTCCAGTTTGGCAGTATCAATTTCCTGTCGGAGCCTGGGTTCAGGAGTGGGAGAAGCTTAATATTGGAATCCTCAATGCCAAACATCACACTCCAACCTTACGATGAAACGTTTGCAGCTTGGGTAGCTTTTCCGAGGCCACACAAGCAGCATCTGCTTCAACGTCCATAGTCAAGGTAGCTTTGATTCCAGCTAGCTTGGCAAAGGAAGCATCGAGGGCTGTAGCAATATCTTTCAAGTCTTTGGCGAGCCTTGGGGGAGGGGTGATTCGGATTTTGGGCAGAAGGGTTGAAAGGGACCCAGGATAGTGAACAGCACAACCCTAAACCATATATGAATTACAACATATTCCAAATATGCAGTGCTCTATTTAACTGTATGCATCTGTATAACTACATATATACATATACCGATAGATAGATAGAGACGAAACCCCAAACCCTACATATAGTATAAACCCTCTACATAGACCTAGTGGACCTGTTTTCAGATCTAGCATTTCTCCATAGATGGCAACTCTCCGTGGCATTGCCGTCACTCAAACTTGGGGCAGATGGGTTGGAACCTCAGGTTTTGAAAAATCTATGCGAACCTACCTTAGACCCCGAACCCTGTCTTAAACCTGATATACACGTTGGTACATATATATATATGCGCATGCATATGCATATACATACATACATACATACATACACACATATATATATATATACACACACCCATATACATGTACATGCACATGTATGTACATATATATATATATATATATATACGTACACATACATACACACACACATATATATATATATGTTGAAAACCCCTGTTGTACATAGAGATATAGCTGAACCCTATCATGGGGGGCCCGATATGAAACATGTATAGGACAACCCCCAAAAGCAAATCCATCGGGGGCAGTGGCTGTAGTTCAAACTTCACGGCAGACAGATTTTAAATCCCTGACGAACGGCGTATGCAAACTATAAAGCCAAAGCAAGCCCTGTATAGGTGTATATATATATATATATATACATATGTGCGTGTGTCTATACACATACCCCAAGTCCTATTATAACCCTGTATAGGCCCACAAGACAAACCTAACAAGGGAGCCCTAATCTGAAATCTATTTAGGTTACTGAGGTTGTCACTATAGATAACATCGATCCAAGGCATTTGCTCAACAAGACTCTGCTGGCTGCCGGCGTCTGGCGCCGGATTGTCAGGCGGCGTCACTTGGCCAATCATTCTGTGAACTTGCAAACTGCGCGTGTGCAAGCTGTCCATAAACTTTGTCAACTCTGGGAGTACCTTAGCAAATTCCGGGGTTTAGTTGGGGTCTTGCATAGGCCGGTTTTGCTATGTACGATGAGCCCACCTTCTCACCCATCTTCTCGGGAATCGGGGTCTCGTCCTTCTCGTCCTTCCAACCCAAGTTGATGTTGATCTTGTCCAGCTCGGCGGCCGTGGAAGCCTTGGAGAAGACTCTACACAATCGCTTGACACAGTAAAGGCACGCACGTAAACTTGCGTAATGCATGCACATGAATGTAGTTTTAGTGTGTGCAGCTTGGTGTCGTCTGCCTCCCGCTCCTTTTCTTCACGGATCTTGATCAATTCGGATTGTCTGACGATGGCCTTCGTCTCAGTCTCTACGAAGTATTCGTCGACCATGCCATCATATTTCCATTTCCTGTCACAGATCTCGAAACGACTTCAAAAAGACAGACTCGAGAGGGTCAGAGAAAGAAAAGGCAAACACAGCATAGAGATATGTGTGTGTGTGTGTGCTCATGTGTGATCAGCCTCACCAATGTCTGTGGGAAGCGTCGGCAGTACTTCACGATCGACTGGATAGACTCCCTGGTGAGGACAGGGCAAGTGTAGCGGCCGATGCTTTGTGCGAGAATATTTCAACAGATGAATGCTATCCAGCGTCTCTGAGAACTCCCCCGAGTTTCGCATTTTTTCCTCCGTCATCCAAGATCCGTGGATCTCTCGTTCTTTGCTTTGCATTTTTTCTCTAATGACGAGGACACGTGCCGAGAAAGCCGCCTGCACCGGATATTCACATGTAATGCACAGACTCACACACAAAGACATGCGCATGTAAACGTTCAGAACCGCTCACCCTCCCCTTCATCCCAATATACACGCTCGCACACGCACACGAGAAGGCGACGAAAGGATAAGAGCTCCAACAACAACAACCACCACCACAGCAGCATACATGGCACATATATGTGTATATACATATATATATATATATATATATATATAGATGTATACACCTATGTAGATGTATAAAAGTACATCCATCCATCCATCCATCCACCCATCCATCCACCCATGCATGCATCCATCCACCCACCTGCCCGCCCACCCACCCACCCACCGACCCACCCATAGATTTCCATCCACGCATGGAAACATATATATATATATATACATATGTATTATATGTACATATATATATAAGTTATAAATGTATCTGCAAAGGCAAACCGATATATATATATATATATATATATATATATAGTGTACCTATATGCATGCAAGCATATATACATGTGTGTATATATATACATACATACATGTGTGTGTGAATATACATATATACACGAACAGACATACATGCATACATACGTACCTACATACATGACTATAACTATACAGACATGACCCACCAGTGTGAAAGCCGAACCCCTCGAGTCACTTTGATCTTCTTGAACTGTCCAGGTCCATTGTGTGTGCCATGGGCTTTGAGCACGTCGCACAAAGCCAACTCCAGCCACTCACGCCGTTCACCGCCCTCCTTCCATTCCTTGTGCGTGGCTGCGTCCACGTGGCATGCGCCTTTCTTGCGCTCCTGACACAGCCTGTTCAACCGCATCCTCAGCGCATCTGGAGTCAGCACCTGGAGGGTGGATATACACATGCAAGTTCGAGGAAGCCACAACACGAAATCGGATGCTGTTCGAAGTTCTCAAAACATCGGCCTTAACACCGTCTGGAGTTATGATCACATCATCATCTTTTGATAGATGAGAGGGGTCCTCACCCTCAACCTCAGTATCCTCGAAACTCAAGGTCTTGGCAGCAGCCGCACTTCGCGGCAGCGAGCTCGCCGAGGAGCCCATGGGAGGGCTTGCAAGGGTTGGGCGGGTTGTGGGTGTTTGCACTGGTGTTTTGCCAGGGCTCGCCTTTACGAGAGTTTTGACAGGGCTCGCCTTTGCGAGAGTTTTGCCAGGGCTTGCAGCAGCGGAGCTTGTCTTAGCCGCTTTCAGCTGGGCTTCTAATTCCTTGATCTTCTCCTGCATTGCAAGCAGCATCTTCTGCTCATCCGTTCTGCAATCTAGGGATTCCGGTGCTTCTGGATTGGGCTTCTCTGGTTGCAGCGGTGCTGCATTGACTTCTTTCGGCTTCTCGGGGCTTGGGGGGCACTGCTGTGTTGCTTGTGTCGGCTGTTTCGGTTTTGGTTGCGACTGGTCAGCTTTGGGAACTGCAGCCACGGTTCCCATCTGAGGCACACGAGATGTGGCTGGCACAGCTTTCACAGCAGTTGGGACTGGAGCATTGCTAGCGCACGAGCCAGGGCTGATGGGGGCCGGCACTTGTTGAGGGGTGGCCACCAACATGATTTTGCCAGTCTTGGCGCACGGAGCCGTGGGCTTGGGTGCAGGACTGGGCTCGCAGGTTGGGGGTGGGCACCTCGGCGCTGCTTTGGCAGAACGAGGAGGGCTTCCGACCTCATACCAATCTTAACCCAACAACATACATGTATACATATACACACACACTGTGTAAGCCCAAAATGGATACATATATATATATATGTTATATCTATATATATATATACATATGTATACACATACATATATACATCTCGACTCTATTCAAAAACCCGACACAAAGCTATATATAAATGTTCTCTAGATTGGTTCTCCAGACTAGATTACATATATATATATATATTTATATGTAATCTAGTCTGGAGAACCAATCTAGAGAACATTATGAAAACCCAAACCAGTATGTTATCCCGGCATAGACTCCACCGGGGCCATATTCATGGCTGCCACCACAGGAGCCTTAGACCATGTATTCACACGGACGTAGATATATTAGCCCGCCCATGTACGTAGCATCCCACATATCAGTGCTGGATAAGCATCCTTGACAATCTCCTGCTTCACCATCTCTTGTTTCGGCACGAGGAGCTTCGTCGTGGGTGGCGAGAGTGCCTCGCAAGCATGGAGATAGGCAGTTAACCCTGTCGTTTCAGTGAAGTATCAACGTGCCACGCCCTCCCGTGAGCACCTTCTTGGCAGCTTCTCGTAGGGATTTTGCTTCCTATAAGGTTCAAGCAGATAACAGGTTACATTCTACTCATAAGCTTTGCAGCCCTTGCATGTAACCGGCCGTCCTGTATCGCTGCCAACAACTGCTCACGTGTCATTTGGCCAGCTTCGAAACGAAGTTCCATGCCGCACATGTCTGCGCAGCATGCAGCACCCTGAGCCAGCTCTGAGCACGACCAGGTGCGTGAAGGTAGCTGCTTCGGCACATTCATTGCCAGGAGCAGCCCTCAATCACGAAGGGACGGCCCCTAACGAGGCTACAGCATGAACTTGGGCATAGAACATATGCAAAGAAAGCGCATCAAATGATTTAAATGATCTATGCATAATCTTTTGACCGCAAGCATGACATGCCGAGGCCAAGGACTTTTGCACTCTGAGTGGGCATCCAGGTTTTGTACAAATTCCGAATTGGATTGCTGCATAACTAGGCAGGTCAAATGCTACCTGGGGCCAGTTTGTTGTGGAATCATCAGGAACGATTGCATTTTTATGTTTCGAGCACGACCACCTGCTCGGGTTTTGTAGGGTTCATGTCACCTATATCGTGTATTCATACCCGCAAATACCCGAAAAAGCCAGCCCTGCAACCTACCCCCCCGAACGCATCCCGAACGCTTCTGAACGCCCCCCGAACGCCCCCGAACGCCCCCGAACGCCCCCCGAACGCTTCCGAACGCCCTGCTGCGAACGCCGCGCGAACGCCGCGCGAACGCCCCCGAACGCCGCGCGAACGCCGCGCGAACGCCGCGCGAACGCCTATGGCTTACCCTGGCCCAGCGAACGCCCCGGGGAACGCCTGCGCACACCTCCCGAACGCTCCGAACGCTTCCGAACGCCTCACTCCTTTTTGGGTGGAAAACGAGCCACGTTCAACAGAATATGGAAAGCACGGGCTCTCTATATCCGAGCTTTAGCAAAGAAATTCACAAATATTAACCCGGTTATACGAGGCTGTTGCTGGTTTTGTATGGTTCAAAGCAACTTCGATGCAGATGTGTAGCCCGCCGAAGCAGCATGCAATACCTCCAAACAGTTTTTGTGCCCGAGTTCAACACCTCACCCATCTATATATACCCCAAACAACCCTCATAATGTGTTTAGTTCGGGTTTCAACATTGTAGTGGTCTGCCAGCCTCACTTTTGTCCTAAAGTTCCCTGGCGACCGTGCCAATTTTACCGACCCAGCAGGCCCAACTGATGCTCGTGATGATGGCCTTCCGTCCTCGGCGAGAACACGCTGATGCTTGTGATGCTCGCCCTAACCGCGCAACTTTTGTGGGTCAAAAACCAAGACGATATTTGACCCACAAAACCGTGCCCTTGGACAAGCCCGCAAAGCTTTGAGATCATGTTCTATACTATTATACTACTACTATACTACTATACTATACTACTAGTATACTACTACTATACTACTATTATACTACTACTTATATAATACTATACTACTATACTACTATACTACTATACTACTATACTACTATACTACTATACTACTACTATATACTACTAATAATACTATACTACTACTATACTACTAGTATACTACTAGTATACTACTACTGCTACTACTACTATATACTACTACTATTATATACTACTCCGCAACTGCTGCTTCTGCATATCTTGCTGAAAAAAACATCGTTTTGTTAACCGCCGTTGTGGTTGTGGTGTTGTAGTAGTAGTAGTATACATATCCTGCTGAAAAAAACCTCGTGTTGTTAACCGCCCTTGTGGTTGTATGTAGAAACATGCAGATCTATATATGTGCACATATATATATATGTATATATACACATGCATATGTACATAGAACTGTGTAGAGGAGTGTTTGTCGGATGGCTGTTCCACTGTATCACTGTATGAAACACATGTCATTGCTCTGTGTGTCTGGCCTGTTCTTGTGTGACTTATATTGTCCCATATTCTTTGTATACTTTATGTTCATACATATAAATATATATACTTACTCGTTATCTATCTGTTTACTACATATATATATATGTCTATAACTATATTGACCTTACTTGACCCAAAAAAACGCAAGAAAATACACCCAAACTTACGTAGGAAGCCGTGAGGACTGGAGGCTGTGTCTCGTTAGACTCATCATGATGGCAAAGACATGTGTATAACGATGTATGACGATAGGTGTAACTGCCCTAGTGGGTTGGAGCATATGGATGTTTTCGGTGTAGTTGGAATATGTGAACATACCGTTCCTAGAGTACCAGGTATAGGTTTGAACAATGTTTGACACGGCCACCTGTCCTTTCTGCTAATTATACTGCACCGAGTACCCTTATACTGCACCGAGTACCCTTATGAGGAGTTTTCAGTTGCAATCCCAAAAAGGACGAAATATTAATTGGACTCCGAAACAGACCCACCTGAGGTATGCAGCTTCCGACGGCTCGTGCTACGTGCTGGTAGCTGGGCAGCTTGGCTTCGCACCCTCAAAGATTCGTTGAAGGATACGTAACCCTATAACCCTCCCTGAACCCTACAAACCCTGACTCCGATCGTAGAATACGTTTATTCGCGAGAGACCCAGCACAGACGTTAAACGTTGCATTGAAATTGACAAGAGCTATGACGAAAGCTCACCAGTGAGTGGGAAAAACAGAGCGCCACTCTGCGCCCAACTCCAATGACTTGTTTCCACGCAAATATATGCCTACTTCCTGCAATTTGGCCTCTGGCCAATCCAGCCACTGCATGTTTGCAAAGACTGCAGGGCCTGACATTGAGCAAGCGAGCGAAGGCTTTCCTTCGCCACGCGTCATCAACTTTGGCAGATGTTGGACTGTATGCAGCCCAAACCCCACAGGAAATACCCTTAGCTTCCCAAGACCATTTCCATCTGCACACGCACACACATGTACACTCACGCACACCCCAGATTGACAAATGTCCCGGGTTCCCGGCTGCGTTTGTTTGAGGTGTTTAGTTCCATGCCATCGCTTACTACCATTGCGATCTCTGGTATATCGGACGGGCCGGAAGTCGGGAGCTCGAGGCCGCTGGTGTTGCAGTAGCTTTCCTTTGTTGTACATTTCTGCCCACTTGTTGTTGGTGAAGCCTTGGTGGCGTTTGGCACTTTGCGCACCGTAGTGCGCCATCCACCACCCGATGCGGTACACCTTAGAAAATCTTATTACGCAGCATGCAATGTGTATACCATTGTGTTCGCACAGCTATACAAAGCGTCCAACATAGTAAAACAGCCATGAGGCCGGCAGTTGACGAAATAGCCATTGCATGCGGAAGTAATATCGCATCAGGGAACTGCCAGGCTGCTCTATCATGAAAGTTCCCCCCAAAGCGGTAATGAGCACTGCCAACAGTACGGTCCTGAGATATTGCACGGCCATGCAAACTGAATAATCATGTAGCCCTCACAAGTGTCAATGTATGTGTGGCAAGCTTCCGAGATGTCATCTGGTTGGCCGCACGAACGTAAGCTAGGTTACTGTTCCCTTCGGCAAAGGCAATGGACCTTTGGCTCGTGCCGGTGTTGGTTAGCACCCACGAGCTGCAGACCGGCGCCAAGAGGCAGAAGAATGCATTTGGCCGGCCTTGTAGGATTAGCCAGATTGCTAACCTGGGATGCGGCTTGGGCTGGCTATCTTGTACAACGAACACATTGCTGGAGTTCATGCGTGCCACAACACAACTGTTACAGGGTTTCTGCAGCATAGGTTGCCCGAAACCAGCCGGGGAGTTGATGTCCATGGGATTGTTCGGAGGAGGGTTCTTCATGTATTCGATATCCACAGCAGCTGCCGGATAATCATGTTTGCGAACTGCACGGAATACATTGCCTTCGCCAGCGAAGAACTCGATAAAAGACAAGTCCTGAATGAAGCGGCCCAAAGCCAAAATCAGATCACCCGAACTGGGAATGTTATGCACCCTGTACATGCATAGGTGTTCACACCCCTCCGGTCCTCCAAGAAGCAACCCAGGTTGCCGCTGCTGGCCACCAAGATGACGACAGCGACGAAGGCCTCATATTACTATTGGGCTGAGTTGGCAAAACAAGGATATGGGAAGAACGGCTTGCTAAGATTTATAGTGCTGAACGAGATGCCCAAGCTGTACAGGGCTGTACATAAAGGGCGTGGGTTTGAAGAGTTTATATGTACACATTCACACATGCAAGACCTATCTATACATATAATTATATTATTATATATATATAGGTCTTGCATGTGTGAATGTGTACATTGCATGTAGAAAATTACATATATTATAGGCGTTGAGTTGGTTCATGTCGTCTGAAGCCCGAAACCAAATACCACCATCACCCCAAAGTCTCGAAACTGCAAGGTCCCAAATCCCAAAGCATCATAAACCGAAGCCCACATCTACAACAAGACAGACCGAAGATGTGTCCCATAAAAACCCCATGCCCCAAACTCTAAAAGTCCTGATGCAGCCCATAAGCCGAATCTGTGCATCGACCACTTGTCCGGTTGTATACGACCAGATTAACAGATTGCATATACATTCGGTTTGGCCATGCACCTTCTATTATGATGATACCCCATCGCTGTTCCATAAAGTTAAGTACTTTTGCTGTTCCATAAAGACAAGTAGCTTTGGGCGCGCCAAGGGAACACAGGCGTGGCACCAACACATCAAGATGTACGGCCATGATTGCAGGCCAGGCAGCTCTAAGGTATTTGCAGTACATAGAACCGATCGGTGTAAAAGATATACAGCTGTCCTATATACGAGCTGCACGAGTGCCTGTATGCATAGCGTGGTCTCTGAGAGCGCGCAGAATCAGAAACAAACGACGGTTCACAAGCTCGTTTGCAGTACCATAAGCAACGGCAGTATACAGCATCGGGCAAGGTAAACGGTGACGGCGTGGCGACGGCGCTTTCGCTGCGGAGGGCAGCGCCAGCTTGCTGGCCGCTTCACCATTGGGACCTGGCTGCACAGGGCTGGCGTGCGTATGATGGGTGTTTTAGGGCAGCTGCCGATGCTGCGCAGGGCCCATCAAGGTCCATATTGCATTTTTTCAAGATGTTGCCGAAACTCCGGTCGGTGTCCGAATCAGCAAAGTCAGCATATTACTGCGAAAGGCACCCGTTGGTGCAGGGGTGAACAAAATCACAAAGAGCTAGCCGGCCCAGCCAGGGTTAGCATGTTCAGAGACACATATGCCGGCATACCAATACACAGCCGTCCTAGCCAATATATGCCTATATAAGGATTATCTCACCTCTCTGTTTTTTGATTATATCGACACCTGACCTATAACTCCGTGGTTTTACGCAGGCATTGGCTGTTGAGGGCACGTTGTTTTCGGGATTGTTCTATCGTACGTGGGGTTTTATAGGGTTTTGGCCTTGAGGATATATATATATATATATATATATGTGTATATATATATATATATGTATATTATGTATATATATATATATATATATATTCTATAATACGGGGTTTCCCGCCTTTGGGGTTTACAATGTCGGTCCTCGGGTGGGGCGTCTTAAGTTTTTTTTTCTGATTTCGGGTTACATATGGATTTCGGGGTTTTTATGCTACTTGGAATTGACATGGTCCCCGGGTGTGGGGTCTTATTAGGGTTTTTTCGGGCTTTGGGTTTGAGAGAGAGAGAGAGAAAGAGAGAGAGAGAGAGAGAGAGAGAGAGAGAGAGAGAGAGAGAGAGAGAGAGAGAGAGAGAGAGAGAGAGAGAGAGAGAGAGAGAGAGAGAGAGAGAGAGAGAGAGAGGAGAGAGGAGAGAGGGAGGGAGAGAGAGAGAGAGAGAGAGAGAGAGAGAGCGCGCGAGACAGGGAGAGGGAGACGGTGAGGGAAAGCAAGGAGAGGAAGAGAGAGCAGGGAGAGATCCGGAAGATGATTCAATTTCAATTAACTTATTCTGCTATCTGTGAACTATTCCGACTTATCCAGGTCTCTTGCCGCTGGGTCTGGGCCAGCTCCCATGCTCTTTGGCTTCATGTAGCAAAACTGGGCTTTTCAGCTGTTCTGGAAATCTCGAACAACAAGCCCATGCACTTCAGAGAGCGCATCTTTCAGATCACACAGCTCCTGGGTATCAGCACTGGGAGTACCGCCGTTCCGCGGCTTCGGCTGACGGCGGTAAGCCTTGACCTTGAACGGCGGGTTGAAGAGATTAAGAGGGTAAAAGCAAAACACTCCGCACAAGTGGTGTTGCACGATACATATATTGACAGAGAAAGCCAGGTAGAAACTTAGCTATCTGCCCACTCTTCGGCGATCACGACATTCGTGAAAATGCAAGGCGATGGCTTGGCAAAGTACGCAACCTGGTTCCACTTGTCCGCGAGGCCACTGCGGACTTTCACACCTACAGCCGATCTTGTCCAGTAGACCGAGTACTGCTGATTCTCGTCATGCGATACCACAGCTCGGTGTGTGTGCTTGCCCTGCATGCCCAACTCCTTTGCTTCCTTGCACTCGTGCAAGCAGTCCAAGATCCGCTGACGAACGTCTTTGTGCCAGGGCCAATCAGGATTCGTCGGTTCATCGTTGGTCGGAGCCTTCGTCTTTGGATTCGTAGGTTCATCGTCGGTCGGAGCCTTCTTTCCTTTCCCCCTTCCCCTTCCTTTTCCCTTAGCCTTGGCCTTGGGTGTCGCATCAGCTGTGTGTGCAGGCGCTGCTTCATCGCCGTTCTTCAGCGGCGCTGCCCTGCGAAGCCCTGCAGAGGTGTCGAGCCCAGCTGGAGCTGAACTGGAAGCACTGCCATTGGCTCCCTCGACAACTTCATCATCATCCTCATCATCATCATCAGGATTTTCTTCATCCGTTTCTTCCTGATCCTCTGCCTCCTGTTCTGTCTTCTCTACAGCGGACTTGGCTGCAGGCCTCTTCATCGGTCCTCGTCCTCGACCCCTACCCCTTCCTCCCCTGCCACGCTTCGGAGGCGGAGCTTGGTCCGGCTCCTGCTTTTCATCTCCCTCGCCCCCTCCTCCCTCATTGCCCTTCTTCCTCTCTTCCTTCTTGCGCTTCTTCTCTCCTATCTGAACTCGGCGAGTGAGATACTCATCGGTGGGAACAGGAGGAAACGTAGATGGCGCATCCTGAGCTATATGGGCACGACACTGTAAATTGTTGCAACACATGAAATTGAAAGATGATCCATTGCACCAAGCATGCGAGTCACATCCGTAGCTGCAGTAGTAGAGCCGGTGGGGCCGGTGGTCTCCATGGGTTCCACGGCGGGCTCTTCGGGCTCTGGGGGCGGAATACAATCGAGATCTGCAACGACGAGTGTGTCATCAGTGTCCATGCCAGACCCCGTAGGCAGTCCACAGCCTAAATGGAAGGATGACTGCTCGGAAGTGTATCAGCACAAAATCATTCATCGAACATCACTGCCCAGAACCTGCTGCAGGAGCTGCAGCGGCGCTGTCGGGAGGTGGAGTTTGCCCCGGTTTCTTGGAGGCCGCGAGTGTCCTAGGATAGGCCAGGGGTGTTAACACATGTATATATACATATCACTGCCAGTCGACAACAAACTGCAAAAGCCCGCCCCAGCACAGTGCACATATAAAGCTGCAGTCAAAAAGCGAGCTCACATCCGCAAGCAGGTTGGAAAGCCGGGCTTCAAGGTCAGCCAAAGGTTCCCCGTCAAGCTCTTCTTGGGATGATATCACCATTTCACAATCCTGATTTTGGGCCATGCACAACGATTGTATAGTTGTGATCGAGTGGTTATACAGTAGAAGCCAGAAAGTTGGAATATGGTTTCATGGTAGGATACCCTATAATTTACCATAGAAGGGTTAGGATAATCATATTCCAACTTTCTGGCTTCTACCTTATATTGCTCCTTGTTTCTAGGACGCAAGACGACTCCCCCTGTGGCCTCTGATTTCTCGACCGCCGGCTCGACGGGCTCACCAACATCCGGCACCTGCGTGATTGGGTCCGACTTAAACTTTTGGATAGTATACTGTTTTTTAGTAGGCTGGGCAGCTTGCTGAAGTTGCCCGGAAACATGCTGCAGAAGCTACTGTGTTTCCACAGGTCCAGGGTTGCCGGGTTTTGGGCTTGTACATGCTCAGCCCAACATGAGGTCACTGCCCCGCCTGTGAATCTTCGAGTGCTCCGGGCGCAGATGGGGCAGGCGCCTCACAAAAGCAGCCGAAGCACTAAAATGCCGTTGCAGGCGATATCTGTGGGGTTGAGATGCACTGAGAAGCGTATTGTATGCACGTAACAGCAACATGCAGAAAGACTATACCGTTTGGCGGATCAAAGGAGCAGACTCTGGCAGCCTTCATACACATCTGATCTGGACAACTTGAACACGTTGTGTCGGATTTGTAATATAGATCGAACTCATCTTTCCGGCAAGGGCTGCCCTGGTGTCTGCATGCGTGCCTCCTCTGGCAATGGTGCGGCTGCCGCAGCGTCCTGGCCAAGCGAAAGCGGGAAATATATTAAGGGCTCTCGGGCTCTCGGTGAAAACACAATTCTAGCCGAGCAAACGAATGACACAATTAACGGGTTTTGACCATCAAAGTAGGATGTCTGCATCTCTCGGGCCTCGCAGATTCAACGTACCCCTGTAGGTACCCGAAGCCCGCAGACCCCACTGCATGAACTCATCCAAGCCCTGCGTTAACTGCAGTCCCTCAAAGCTTGTATGGTGCACCTGACAATGCTGGGCATGGACTTCAATGGATCTTGCTGTCCCAGCACCCCAACCATATTCCAAAACGTTGGGACAC